TTTTTCTATTTAATAAGTGAACTTTTTCCAAAAATGTTCATCAAAAATTATTTCAAAAGATCTAATTAAAATGTCATTTTTTAAACTATTTTCAATGTCTGCCACTGTGAGTTATTTCAGAGAAGGTTACTATGGTATCACGATAATCCCCAAAAAACGCAAATATGGAATGATAGATGGGTCAAAATCTTCAAGTTAAGTTGTGAAAAACTTCGAGCAGTTAACTTGCTATAATATTCAACTTATATGAACAATAAATATGTCAGTATATGTGATTGTAACATATTTTAATAGAATTAAGGGAAATAGTTGTCAGATATGATGATTTTATCAAATACATATTCCCGTGAATACATTCATGAGTCACAATATTAAATTTATTGCCAGGTGAAAATGAATTTAGTGTGCCAGTTTTAAAAATATCAGCATCATCGTGTGTTGCTTTTACTAGGCATCACAGAAAATGTAAATATCGTGATATCATAGAACCCGTGATATCATAGGAACCGAGTATATGTAATAAGGATGTACTTTTTGTGATTCTTAGCCTATTCATATAATAAAACAATTATTGTCTAGCGTGCCATTGAATATGATGTGATATTCCCCGACAGAAAGTCATCTGCCGATCATATCCAATGGCTCACTAGTGTATTCATTATAAGCGAAGAAGGTATACAATAGATGCATGCTTTAATTGAGTCAGACAATACCTTTCAATAACAAAAGGCATTCGACTGCAAACACATAAATATAAATGTATTAAATATACATGCTTAAATAATTTGCAACAAAAACATGCAGACATTTAATATTTAAACGTTGCTTGAAACTGATAAAATAATTATATAATGTGCATTATAAAATTTATACGCGTTCGTGTATGTCGAAACGGCATACAACAGCAATATTGTTCAGCAAGGTGAAAACGAAATATGCCTTAAATACAAAAGCTGTGCTAAAATCTCAGTAAAAAATAATACTATTAACAAGCAAAATGTGTAGCACTAACTGTATGCAAGCACCGCAAATCACATTTTTATTTTATTTTAATTCATTGTTCTCTATTGAACTTTTATACACTTAAAAGTAATTGTAAAATATGTTTGTTGAAACAATTTAGAACATATGACATTACAATTATAAGAACATTGTCATTGAACATAAAAAATGATACGCAAGAATAATGACCATATACATGATTTTTTATGGATAATTAAAAAAAACAATGCCCGTATGCTATTTCATTGGCACTTAAATATCATCATTCAATCGGGTATTTATGACTCCGCCCACTGACAGTGAGACTATTGGCGAAATCCTTTCTACGTTCATTTGCACTGTATCTCTGCTCTGGCATGTACAAAAGTGTCAGTTCCTTGCGAACGTGAATGCAACTAGTACTGGTAAACTGCTTGACAGCCTACCCAAGAACGATGCGGTGGTTGGACTTTGCTCTGGTGAATTCAATGTGGCTAACTGTTGTGATCAGGAGTGACAACTACAAACACCACCACCTATGTCATTAATTTATGGCCTATTGTATAATATGCTAGTACGCTGCTGAATCAAACAAACATGTCGGTACTGCATAGATCCCTGTCTTGTATAATTCTAATTACCAGATTAATACAATAAGAATTTCACCACAACCTATTTGTTAACAAAAAAGCACATGTCCATGTTTGTGGTTAAATATATTGTTATTCAAACAAAAGGTCAGAGTAGGTATCTATCAATAATACTTTATTAAATATATTTTGTCACTTATTTAATATTCCAAAACAGCTTTTATTATGCATTGTTATAGGCGGTCTTAAAATAAGAAAGGATTTTTAATTGTATGATTCATTATATTTTCATTACGAATTTACAGAGATTTAAATATTTTCTTACTTGTTACAATAATTTTTATGTGTATCTTAAAAAAGAGAAAAAAGATAAAATAAAAAACACACACTATCATTGTTAATAGAATATCTCTTTAAAAAAACTTAAAAAAAAACAAAACTTTTTCTATTTGAAAAAAAAAATGTAAAAAAAAAAGAAAAAAAAATATATCAACTTACTTATCGTCAGTCTTCAAAAAATATTTACATAATCATTATGTTTTTTTCTCTATTTTATTCGCACCTTCGCATTTAAGGTTGTAGAGATGTTTTTAAACTTAAACATTGTAAACGTTAACATTACCGAGATACCAAATTCATTATTTGTTTAGTCTACCTAATACATACATGCGTATAGTTACATATTATAGAGAAATCTGCAGTAATCTATGGAGGTTATTCGTTGCCAAAAATCCAGCCTTGTTGATCGGAGTTGACTAGTTTGTTAACGGACAAAAATACAATTGTATTTCTTTGTATGTAAACTCCAATGTTGCATTCTTGGATTGAGTTTGCCGATTTAACATTGTTAACATGTATTTCAACAAAATACATTTTGCTAAAAACTGGTTTTTGAGGGTAACAATACCAAGTGTTCATCATAACATACGGAATACTCATTGTTCTTGTATACGCCGAAAAACAGAAGTTACACTCTTAGCTTTACAGTGTCAAATCATCTTGATTCGAATCAGCATAATCCAGCTGTACACGTTCGTCAATAGGAGATTAAATAAGCTCCGCTCATTTTCCCGCCCACTACATTATCGTAAATAAACGTATATCTCCGCTCATTTTTGGTATTTACCGCCAGCGAGGTCATACACCGGCGTAGTTTCCGTTTACCACACCCTTTAAATGTTTAGTTATTCACCAAACATAATTCACTTGACTGATTGCCATTCTATGCCTTTATTCAATCAACATAAGCGGACTTTAATGATTATAGGCATATAAGTTTTGAAACGTTGTAGATACCACATTTCTTAGAGAAAAAAAAACTCAAAAGGTTACTTACTGTCTGAGGTTTGATAATTTTCAAGGAAGTAAACATAATTGATCAGACTATATTCAACGACAAATAAATGACAAATAAATTTTACTGCGGGGATTCCAATTTGAATAGGAATGAGTAACATTGACAGTAAAACTGCTACCGTACCACTTTCAAATTTTCAAGTCAAGCCCTGAAAGAGATTTTGATACGACTTATTACTAATACAGACCAAATTCTGGCTGTTGTCTTTCCTTGTAGTAGCATTTACTACATTCACATAAGTAACCCTAATTCTAGCGTATGACTTGACAAGAAAACACTTTAAACAAAAGTAAAATTTAAACTAAAGTTGTATGTACCCTTTCGTACATAACTTTTTTTTATTTTTATCATGCTTTATAGATATATTTTCTCATTTTTACAAAAAGAATTTCAATAATAATATTTAAATGAGTCAAAAGGTATGTATGTTAATTATCAATTTAGGTATACCTTGTTTATTTTATCTCAAAGAAAGCCATCACTTACAAAACTTATAAATATTCCGTGTAGTATAGTTATCTCCTTTTGATCAGATTGACAGCATGTATACACAGATCTTACAGCTGTCAATGATTCAGTACAATGCATAAAAAGGACCTTAACCTACGTCAGAGTACACATATTTAATAATAAAAGGCTAAATTACATCCTATGACTCAAACTATCTCCCCATGGAGGTAAGCAGAGATGCTAGGATACATTGAATATTTATTTCAACATTAAAATGGGACAAATTCACAAGTGTTTGGTTATACAAAGGAATTATTGATAGTAAACTTTTAAAAGTTCCGTGGTTATACACTTGTTCATTTGTGTTTTTCTTAAGAAAGAATGCATAGGCTTACAGTTCAGTTCTCTTTATCCGTATTGCCAAAAGTGACTCCCATGTATCGCATTCTAATATCGTTTGCTGAAAGTAATAGACATGTATACGCATACTAAGGTTTTGACGTTTGAAGGCACAAAACCCTATCGATAGATATATAAGTGGATTTTTTCTTTATATATGGGAAACATTCCCTTATGTTAATTCACCAATTTTAGTTTTTTTGCATATTATTATGCTCATTATCAGTATAAACGTTGTTACATTGTTACAATATATATTAACCAATTTTGCAGTACTTCAATATCTGTGCTAGAATACGTTTTAATAAAATCAGAGTATATTCGAAGTCGACTGTAATGCAGTTGATGTATGTGAAATTTATAACAGTTTTATATAATTTGAAATATTTTTAAACCAGCAAGAGTTACCTCTCTGCATATTCTTCTTTCGTGAAAATTGGCTCCGCCTATTAATTTTCATCTATTTCCGTGATAATTCCATATATGGAAGTTGCAAAATTGTTTACAAATGTTAATCGCGTTATCTAGAATGTTAAAAAAGTGTAGTGTTGTCAACCTGAGAGTGTCAACTGATGCAGTTACATTCTCAAGGTCATGATGCACATCATTTAACGTGTTGTGTACGTTTTATTATTTAAATTTCTATGCATGTTGCAAATTTGAAGTTATACTTTTCTAAATACAGTTTTGAATTGATCTAAGATGCATGTTAACAGCTTCCATTTTATCAAATCGAGAAAATCAAAACGTTTAATACCAGTGCAGTATGTAACTCTCGGATCGACAATTAGATTTTTACTAATCTGTTAAGTAGAACCGAAGTATGCATTGTCAAGTTTCAAAGGCTGGATTGTTTGCAATGATTAGCCTCCATAGTAATCAGTGTGTAAACTCCAGCGTTGTTTTGTTGACCATTAGCCAGGCCAGTGTAACAACTGCCTTGCCAGCAGTATCTGCTGTTATACTGACACCTGGTCACACAATTTTTATATTGGACACAATTTAGATTAGTTTTACCTACAGTTACATTTTCTAGAAAACCCAGTACTGATCATAATGTTAATATTAGAATTGTTTTTTTTTGGGAATTAGCCATCGTGACAACAACATTGCCACCAGGATCTCCTGTTATACTGAAACCTGGTGCCGCATCGGACTTTGGAACTCTTGTTACCGGGTAACAAAATTTTAGATTTGACTAAACTTAGTTAAGCTTTACGTACCTAATATATACAGACAGCTACATTTTGTAGCAAACCCAGGAGTGACCATAATGTAAACTCCAGCATTGTTTTCTTGGACATTAGCCAGTGTAAAATCAACATTGCCATCAGAATCTCCTGTTATACTGACATCTGGTCCATGAGATGGTCTGGGGTCCTTGTCTGAATAGAATGTTATACGAGCTTTACCAGTACCATTATAAAACTTGACCTCAAACGGTCTGCCTAGTGCATCTAGTCCGTTCAGGTCAGCAGTAAACTGAAGAGTAGCACTAGAGTTTACACGACTGTAAGTTTTTCTGATTGGTGATTCACATGGCCATGATTTGACTGAAAATGTCAGATTATTTGTATTATTTTGAGATACATCACATATCCACAAACAAATGTAAGTAATAAAATTCAATATAAGACTATAATTATGTAAACTATAATTATAAAATAATTCAAAAAAATCATTACCTTGAAAGAATGAATATTTAGAATCTAATTTGTCAAACAAATTTTAATTATATACAGCTATTTTAGATGTTAAAATACACGTTTAAACATTCATCCTCAGCAAACGATATATGTTTCCAGGTTCGTCAAGTAAAACATGTATTCATGTAATTAAGTTGATAATCAGCAAAATTGTTTCCTAAAAATGACATGTTAATAACACTTGTCAGGTAAAGGATTTATTATCAAATAAGTGTTTGTAGAATGGTCAGCTAGGCATTTTCTATAATTTAACTTTAATCTTAATACAATGCTATTTCAATCGTTATTTGGGGGTTGTTAAGTAAAGAAGTATATTTGATAACCTATCCTTCCCCATTAGTGCATTATATAAATGTTCACAAGAAAAGCATTGATGCAAAGCATTGATGCAAAGCATCAAAGGGCGTCCAAGCAAGAAATGCAAGAAATTGTATATCACTTATGAATGAAACGACGAAAGACATTGTTCATTATTAACTTTGATTGGCATGCTAGAAATTAGAATATTACTTGTTATTTCTTTATGATCGTGGTTATTAATAGCAACGGATATACATGTATACAATCATTTATAATCCATATGTGTAATGCATGATCAACACCACACTTGTGTAATTGTCCCTTATTAGCGAAGACCCCCTCTTAAGTTATCTGTTCACACTTAGTAACAATAATTATTTTAGGATATATTACCATGTTGATCATGTTGAGCATAATTGTTTATTATACAATAATTGTAATATCTATTTTAATAAAAAAATACAGATTTTATGAATATTGTTTTCTTTTCTTTTTTGTGTTATTTTAATACTGAGTTTTTACGTTTACTACTATTTTAAGGATTCAATTGTCATATTGACTGACGATTAATTATAAGTCAAAACTTAACTGGAAAAGTCAGTAAATGGTTAATCTTTCAATATATAATATAATAAATATTTTTTATTCTTAAACCATATACATGTACATTTGTTTTTTTCTTTATCATTTTTTAAATTATCAATCAATTGCATAATTCATAAAATCTAATTTGTAACTTTGAATAATTCCTCTGCATCTTTACTAAACACGAATAACAAATTAAATAAAATGTTTCAAAGTTGATAGTGTCATATTAATACCATAAAAATGTACCTTTTTTTCAATTATTGTTCATATTTATTGTTTTTATCTCATATAGATAAAATAAAACATGCGCTATTGTTGTTGTTGTTTTGTTTTTTTCGAATTGTATGTTTATGTATAATAATAATAATAAATTTGAGAGTTGATCTGTGTTTATAAATTATTGTAACCATACTAAGTGACAAACATTCATTTTGAAAAAAAGCTTATTTATCTGTAAAATATTTGTTCTTTTCTGTAACAATATCAAACATATACTCCAAAACCGGGAGAGACCGGACAATAAACGTGTGGTACTATTCGCTGGTCACTAGTAAATTCCGGTCAAACTAGACCAGGAGAGACCGGGAATTACCGATAGGAGTACATCCCTCTATAAATAGATTTTCGGAATATTTAGGTCATCAACTACATGTACAACAATAACATACTATAATAACCCACTACAAAATGATAAATACAAATACTAAAAATAAAATAAAAAGCGATTTATTGACGGAAAAGCTTATTTCATTTGAAAATGTTTGCATTGCGAAATTCTGCAGTTCGCTATTCATTGTACATATCGCGACATTTCATTTTTAATTAATAATCAAGCACCCTCATACCGATCGGAATGATCGGCTTTTATTATGACCGTCTAAAAGGCTCGAGAAGTTGCTGTCGCCCTTTCACAAAATCTGATTTCTCGTAGTACCGCCATAGAATAAATATAGATTTAATTATTTTCCTATTTTCTGTATTAAATTTATATAGTTATAGTACTTTTGGACAGGGATGAAAAAGTATTTAGGAAACGGTCATTTTAAATCTTATTATATATGACACAGTGACCCAGCTATCCCAAACACCCGTGCTAGTCCTAACATAATATTTTTGACTGTGAAATAGATTTACCTTATGTAAAGGGAGGCAACAATATATATTGCATTTTAGAAAACCCTTGTATGATTTGTAACCCTTTTATCAGTACTGACATGGATTATTCATTTTATATATCAAGTATGACATATTTGTGTACATACTTAAAATTACATTGGAAAAAAAACCTCTTTAGATTATAAAAACATTTAGAATCGAAAACCAAATTCAAATATTACTGTTCTGTTTTCCTAGCTGTTATCTTCATCAAATTATATAGAAGCATGTTACAAACATGTCTTTCTGAAACATTATCTGAAACATTATCTGAAATAATGTTTTTGAGAGAGAGAGAGTTTATTGACAGAAGTATGCAATCCGGGTCCTTTCTTAATCTTAGAAATCTCTATAATTCCATTAAAGATTAGAATGCATCTCAAAATGTACTTACCACTCTATAAACTAGCCAAGATGTTTTGATATTTTAAGTTCAAGTCAGCCAGTTTGAATAACATTCATAAAGAAAAACATGAGTGATATATTTTTATGAAGATATTCGGATGGCTAAGATAGGGACTTTGGATTCTTTCATGTGAGGAAGCTATCCAGCTAGCTTACGGAACGTCGGTGGTTCTACTCAGGTGTCCGTTCTTGCCTGAAAAAATGCACGGAAGGGCACCTGAGGTCTTCCTCTACCAGTAAAGCTTGAACTTCGCGATATGACCTATGCTGTGTCGAAGTGACGTAAAACCCAAAACAAACAAACAAAGCTAAGATATTTTGTTTGCTGTAAAACAAATCCTACTGCCCGAAACATTTGTAAAATAATGTTTCGTTGATTATTAAATTGTTGGCATTCAACCAGTAGGTCTTTGACTTGAATCATATTTCACTCTACACTTAGAACAAGCCGGCTAAATCTTTCAAATATAATAGGTCTTTGCCACCCGGGCCAGCATAAGTCTGGTAATTGCTTAACGATTTTTTTAAACTTTGTGTGATTTTTGTATTGGCGGTTAAGCTCCACTGATGATTTTCGTTAGCAGTTGTCCTTATTTGTGCTGGATAACATATTGTGGTAACCTGTTTGCCTGTTGTCAGGCCTTCATTTCTTGTATTAATTTTTGTTTCGACTGACTATTGGTGGATTTCGGTGAAACCTAGGATGACAGAAATACGAAAATGGCAACATCAACATGATTGTTGTCATTTATTGTCATATATGTTATATGTCATTCTTATGGCTAATAGCTCTTTAGTAAAGACGGAGGCCTTGTTACAAACCTATGATTTTTCATAAACTGACTTGATGGAATTATTACTTCAGCGGAAGCAATTTTGTCCAGGTCTGGGTCCGATTATATTGTACTTATCTCAAATTTCCCGGGTCTATGTTCATACATAAATTCTACCTTGTAAAATCAGCAGACTATCTGCAATGTTCTACTTTATATAAATATAGTCCTCAATGAAAATAAATATCATAGCAATTAGCATATTTTTTCATTTCAGCTCAGCGTCTTATTTCAAAAGAAATACTGTATCTAACTGATGTAACAATTATCACAAATAGCTTATCAATGAGCAGGTAAATTAAAACGTAATAAAGGGCGTCTGTCGCTACCACAAACACTTTATTTAATTACATTTCCAAAATGATACGTAAACTTTATTTATAAATATGTATTACAAAAAATTGATATAAAACGTATATATACTCATTTTACAAACAAATGCATGCATATATTAACTAAAAGATGGCAAATATCAAATAAAACAGTTCAAAGGACTTACCATAAACTATAATTTCCATTATAGTTAAAGCAAATATCAACATTTTTGTACACTTTTCACTGTATAAATCGAACATTTCAAACGCAAAAACGAAGCGAATATATCAAGTAGGATAACTTTTTACTGAATGAGGAAGTACTAGACCTCATATGTTTGATGGTTTACTGATATAATGTAAACAAGTTTAAATCGGTCGTGTAAAACCAAGTTGGAAAGATTTATAGATCCTATCAACATTTAAAAGTCATGTGTATTCAAAAGATGAATGTCTATTGTTATACATATTTAGTAGTGTATACTCTCAGTATATACTCTGACCACAGACACTTGGGGTATGGAGCTCGAAACGTATTTGCATTCCACATAAATTGTTTATTTGTCTTACTTTTGTATATATTTGTTTTCAACGAGGAAATATTTCACTACAGTGGTACTATGTTTGCGTTGTAGTAAAAATATCATGTTCAAGCTATATTTATTATTTACGTCTCATCCATGCATATCTACATAGTCCAAAACATTTATAAAATACACATATAAAAAGCATGGCCAATCTATCACAGATTTATAAGAGACTTTCGTTATACAGCTTTAAAAAAAAAATGGGTAAAATCAAAAATACAAATGATTAACTATTTTTGATTGTTACTGAGTATATTATTTTCTGATTTATATCTTCAAAACTCTAATGATATACATTTTGTATTCCATCCTGACATATAAACATAGATAAAATATGATGTTGAAATAAATGATGTGTGAGACAGTAGATTAAGATAACTGTTTAAAAAAATAAAATAAAATACACCTATAAATACCTATATCAACCCTGATCAGACCAGAGATGAACTGATTAGCAATGACTAAATGGTTATCTACATTTAGCTACAAACATAAAATCAATTTCCTTGAAAAAGATAATTAAATGATACAACATTTTATGTACATTTTAAAAAGAATTCTTCATTAAGATAAAATATATTTACGTAAGCGTAACCTTATTAATGATACAAAGTATAAAAACGTGACAGAAGTATATTATAGCAGGTTTTAGATTTCGGGAATTGATAGTACAAACATACTTTTTTGTTCATCATTCATATAAATAAAATCATCATATCCTTGGCTTTATCAAATAAAGCATTTTTAAGAAGTTGGTAAGCAGGACATTGTGTTAACACATGTATTTCTGTTTCAACATTTTGTTTACAAATTGGACAAATCCTGTTATTGAGATCTAAATTCTCATATCTTCTTGTTTCCAGACGGAGGGGTGCAACTCCACATCTAAATTTTGCTTAGACTAAATAATATAATATATGTGATAAATTTATAAATGTTAAATGTTCTACAAAGTTAAACTGTTGAATTTTTACATCTAGTGCTAGAACTAGAATAACAATATGCATAAACTTTATAATTCAGTCTTTCCCCATTCATTCTATGATATCTATGCCACAGCCTAGCTACGGATAACCACTGTTTCACATGCGGTGGTTGCCAAGCAAGTTCGCTATTAAGAGCTGCAGTTGGGGTGTATTTTCCCAAACCTAAATAAAAATGCATGGCTCGATTTTGTACTACGTTTATACATGAATGAGACTTAGTATCCCATATGGAGGCGCCATAAGAAATAACAGGCCATACCATGTTGTCGTAAAATTTGGTGAAAATATTTTATGGCATGCCACCAACACTATTTGACTTTGCAATAAGGAGACCAAGTGCTCTAGCACTTTGTGCTACAGATTTTGCTGTTTAACAAAAATCTAAATGTTCATCTAAAAGAATGCCTAGATAGATATACTGAGTATCAACTTGTAGACTATGGGTACGCAAGTGAAAGCATGAGTGGTTTTTACAACAGATGGTGGTCTAAAGAGTAAAATATTGTTCTTCTGTGGATTAACTATCATAGAATTTACATAACACCAATTTGACAAAACATCTAAGAGATCTTGCAAATCATTTTCATTTTAAGCTATAAGTACAATATCATCGGCATACAATAAACTATTGTATGAAACGGTTTTTCCATAGCAGACTACGATTAATAAAATCATACGCTTTTCTAAAATCGATAAATGCACAAAAGGTAGACAGTTAAAGCGTTTTCCCGGAATCAATAATATTACTTAGTGTTGAGACATGATCTATGGTATTTCTATTTTTTCTGAACCCATTTTCTTCATCAGCTAAGATGTTATTACTTTCAGCCCAACTAGAGAGCCTATTATTTGATATAGAACAATAAATCTTATACATAGAGCAAGATAAAGCTATACCCCTGTAAGACAGTGGATAACGAGGATCAGCAGTACTAGACTTGGGTATAGGGGCAATAACAACTTTTCCCCAGTTAGTGGGTATAGTTCCTGTTGTAAAACACACATTAAATAAAATATGTAAAAATGAAACACAACCGTTATTTCTGACAATATCTATTTGAATATTGTCAAATCCACTGGCTTTACCTTGCTTAACTTTAAAATGGCTTTTTTACTTCTTCAACAGTGATGCCACAATTTAAATCTCGTAATCAGCATTTAACTCATTTTATTGACCAGTAAAAGCAAACGAATTGTGCGTAGAGTCATTATTCTTATTTAAAAGATTATTAAAATCATGTTTCCATCTGTTCAAAACATGTAATATATTGCTAGGTATGCTATCATCAGTCAATACTACCTCCATTGGTATCCGTTTATTTCTTGACTGTGCTACACCTATTTTACCAATGGATTTCCAGAATTCCTGTTGATTTTTATATAACAGTCCGAAGCCAAATCTTCTTGAAATGAGACCAAGTAGGAAAGTTTTGCTCGTTGGACTGCTCTGTCAAAAGTTTTACGGGCTGTAATAAATACATTTTTTAAAATTGCTTTTTCTGACTGTGAAACATTAGGACATTTAAACCAGTTTTTTTTTCTGACAGGCATACGGAATTCCAGAAGTAAAATAAGTTGTCGTTCCACCATGGTTTACCAATACGGCGCTTTTTATTATAAGTATCCGACAAATACACAGTTTTATATTGGATATTCTTATACATTTCATCTTTCAAAATCTTACATAGATCATTATATGCATTATCAACATCAGACTGACATCTCATACTTTGCTCAAGTTTTAATACAGTGTCATGAAGCTCATTTACAACAGTATCCGAGCTCAAAAGGTTAACAGGTATTTCTATCAAATTAAACGTATCATACATAACATCCTGCTTATAAACATGTACATTTTGTGTTAGCCTGATTGGTGCTATTCACTGGTGAATTAAATGCACATGAAAAAATAGAATGATCAGGTATCGAAGCTGGTGTTAAACCATTTAATGTATGAATGTCTGATATTAAATCCTTAACTCGTGTGACACTAGCTTTGTCACACATACTTAAATACTCTTGCTGAACAATAAAATAGTTTACCACTGTGCACCCTTTAGTTGATATAGAAGTGGAATCATTATGTACAAAATTTCGACCATTTAACACACATGTGTTACTATCAATTAAAAACTGTATTATTTTTTCACCGTGATTACTTGTTGTAAAATCAACAATCTTTCTTTATGGTAAACAATCTACCTCAGAAATAAAATCATCATTATCTCCAATTCTACTGTTGAAATCCCCGCCTATAATAATTGGCCCATCATTTTGGTAAACAAGTGATCATAAATATTTTCAGCTCCTACCTGCCTAGATGGATTATGAGGTGGCAAATAAGCCACACATGTCAAAACTTAAATGTTGTCAATTTTTTTAAAAGATAACCGCAATATACCATCAAAAGTGTTATCAACAACATGTTCCATAAAATGACTTAAAAAATTATTGTTAACTAAAACACCTACTCCACCAGATCCAGATCTGGCATTTACATGTAAATGTTTTCTGTTATTACCTAACCATGTATAATGTTCAATGTCTAAAACAGTTTATATGTAACTCTAGCAAATACGCGAGTCAGATAGGGAGCACAATTAAAGTGTGAAGCGTTGTTTTTTTGTTTTTGTTTACAATTTGATTGACATCGATTACTTTCAGATTTAACAGGAAACTATTTTAATTCGAAGGATGCCTTTATTTTGCATGATACCGTTTGGTTTACATTTATACAGTAAAAACCCTTAATTAAGGACATCATCTGGGCTGGACCAAAGTGGTCTTAATTGTGGAGTGGTCTTAATTGTGAATATTCTTATCATTGCTTACATACTTTATGACCATGGTCTATTTAAGTCATTTTGTATGAGAAAAATAGCATGTACCTTAAGCTACAACTACAATATTAAAGACACTATAAAAGTATGCTTTGATATCTAATGAAAGGAAAACATATTTCTGAAGAAATTTAACATTAAATTATCTTTGGTCAGATTTCAATATCAATTAATATATGTTGTTCATAATTCACCTACCAAATAAGAATTAATTCTTCACAAAATAAATTTGCTGAAAGCAACATTAAACCACTCTAAAATTTACCTTCTCAGCTTATTTCATACAATAACCCAATACTAACAGTTTTTCACACCTTGTGAAACTAAGTGTCATACAAAGAATTCAACCAGATCGATCCCCGGGAGATGCTTTGGTAGTTTAGCGCGGCGGAAGGTAGTCTAGTACTGGTGTTACTTTCCAGGAACGATGGTTAGGAAACTACCCGCCTTTATGACTGAAATACTGTTGGGAATAGGCGTAAAATAATGACACAAACAAACAAACAAATCATAACATCAAATTTAAGATCTAGATAGATATTTACTTTAATATCACTGGTCTCACACGTTTGATCAAATTAAGAATAAAGCGAATAATTTGGACTGAGTCATGTGATTTTAAAAGTGGATAGGCGGTTGTTCTTAATTCTAGATCATGTAACCATTGAATCTTGCAAAATTAGTCTTATAGAGGGGATGTCTTAATTCAGTAATTCAGGGATGGTCTTAAGTAGGGATTCTACTTCACATTGAATGTAATCAATTATAAATCAATTATTCTCTTAAAGTAATTGTAATTAATTGATAACAGAGGGAAGTCTGAGTAATCAATAATAATCAATTACAATAAAATCTGAATGTTATTGTAACTAAATCAATTACTGATCAATGTAATCATCACCAGGTCTGTTTGT